CAAGATTCTAGATGTGTCTTTGCTTTACCTTAGAATATAAAATTTCATTTGTCCATTTTTGTGACATCTTCTTGAGACCTAGAAACGCATCTCAACATCTCTTAAATTAATTAAATCTTATACACAATTAAAACTAAAACTGTTGTCATGTTCACAGCAACGTAATCCAACAATTTACATTCATGTGTAAGTCAAGGCACTACTTATTTGTGTTCTTACTTACTAATAAACATACTAATTTAAATTATGAGTGTTAAAATTTGTCATTCTTATATATGCGTCTATGGCAGATGTATTATCAATAGGCATGGAAGTAATTATTTGAGATAATAAACAACACACATATATGCATATTAAACATTGACTGAGAAGTGTGTTTGTGCAGTGTGTTACAGTCTCTGGGGAAACACAAGTTTCTAGACAGAAAAACCATGAGTTTTCTGGAATTCGGGTTAGAACCCTATGCATTCAAGTCTGAATACCAAAGACTCCTGTTTTGAGGTCATCTAATTTAGAGAAAAGTGAAATGCCTTAATTTGGTTCACAGCATCACGAAAAAAATCTCAAGATGACAAAAAAAAAATTAACTTTTTTGATTTTGTTGGTAACATAAAGTATATTCTAAAAGAAGTTTGAAATAAAAACAAACATGAATGCATTGCTAAGTACTAGCAAATGATCACGGTAGCACAATCTGGTCATGCTAGTTACCCAAGTGAACAACTTACTGTTTTCAAAGTGTTGCAATTGTTGATTATTACTCAGTAGTGATTATAATAACATACATTGTAAGCAAATGATTTCAGTCACATGTGAACACCCAATGCGATATGATATCCGCCAAGTTTTTGCATATACAAGATGAAACTGTGTTTTCTGACCTGGTAAGTCAAGTTGCTAATTAACCTATCGAAATGCTGGATTGTGCCAATGTGTTCAAATTATAATAGTTCTTTTAAATATGTTCATGACAGTTCAGCGACTTCATGGCAAACGCAACACGAAAAAGATTTACCGATGTTGTAGTCTGATCTTTTGGCCTTAATTTTGATGGGTAAACAGCAAGTTCTTTTCTTAAATCAAAAAATTGTTATTGAAAGTTAAACTGAGCATTGAAGAATATTTTTTTATATTTTTTTACTGTGATAACAGCTCTTTGTCAAAACGAAGTTTACCCCATCTCACCAGCCACAATAAACCATACTCTTGAATAGGCATCAATGACTGTGAGAAAAACCTAAATTAGAATTAAATAGCTGTGCGAGGGCGATGGCGATAAATGTAGCCTTTGGTAGGCATGTATTAAAACCCTTAGAATTCGACACACACACAATTTTCAACAACAAATACATTTTAATTAAAGATACACTAGCTGTAACGACCTAGTTTTTT